CCCCCCCCCCGGCAGGCCGGCCGGCCGGCCCGCCCCACCTCTGGGGCTGTTTAGCCAGAAGCCAGGCGGGACAGTGGGAGGGGAGCGTCGGCCCCTCTCTCCGGAGCGGGCGCCCGGTTGGGAAAGGCGCCCCTAAGAAGGGCCTCGCTTCTGAAGCAGCAATGGCCTTGCCTCTGAGCTTGTGCAAAGTACATTTCCCTGCCTCAACTCCCACCCACCTAGGTGCCCACACAGCCGGGCGGGGCCTGCAGGCAAGCCCCGCGCCTCGAGGCTGCCCAAGCGCTGCGTCCCCTGCAGACACGCGAGCCCGCGCCGCCCGGGGGGGAAGGGGCGCCGGGGGGCCTCTGGGCCGCGTCCGCCCTGCAGACCTGCCGCCCGCGCCTGCCCTGGCCGGAGCCGCCGACGTTCCCCGGGGGAGGCGCGGGCGGGGGCCCTTCCCGGGCGGGGCCTGGCGGGGGGGGAAGCGCGCCTACCTGGAAGCGTCCCGCTGCCGCCGCCGCGTCCGCATGCGGCCCTCCCGGCCCCCGGCCGCCCCCGCGCGGGCGGCCCTCCCGCTCCGGGCGCCGCCTCCGCCGCCGCCTTCCGGCGTCCCACGTGAGCCACGTGCAGGGCGCCGGGCGCTTACTCGCGAGGAGGCCCCACGGCGGCGGCGCGCTTCCGCGGGGGCGGGGCGGGGGCGTGTCCGCGGGGCGGTCGGGCTGCGCGCCCTGCTCGGAGTAGCAGCGGGCCCTTTGAATCGCGGGCCACGGACGCGGCTGCCCCGCCCGCCGCCCTCTCTCCCTGCCCCGGGGAGCCCCCGCCGCGCCGATGCTCGGGCCAGCCCGTCGCGGTGACTCGTCCTCCCGGCCGGGCCGCTTTGGCCGCTGGGCCGCAGACGAGGGGAAGAAAGGGGGCCAAGCGCCCTCCGGAGCCCCTTGGGGGGCCCTCGCCTTTCACGCACTTACTTCATCCTCGGGGCGCAGGAGCGCCCGCGGGCGCCAGACCCCTGGCCCCTCCCCTTCGCTTTTGGCCCCTCCCCTTTCTCCAGTCCCGCGCACCCCTGGCAGGTGGCCCGGGAGCTGCCCCGAGGCGCAACCAGCGCTCAGGCCACACGGGGTGCCGGCGCCCTGCTGCCTCGAAGCCAGATCCGGGTCCCGGGCCGTCCTGCCTGCGTGGGCCCGGCTCTCGCTGCGCCAGACCGGCCTCGGGGCCACCAGCCCCCTGCCCCGGGTCTCCCACGTCACGTCTTCCGGCACCCCTGCCGTCCTCGGAGTTAATCGCCCTTGGAATGCAGCTGCAGCGCACGCCCGGCCGGGATGCGGTCACGGGGCAGCCTGGAGGCCGAGCGGGCAGCCTCTCGGTGCCCAGCCCTGCCCCATAGCCTGCGGACTCCGGGCTGGGCCGGGCCGGCCGGGCAGAAGCAGCCTGCTGGCCCTACAGGGTTGTTGGGACCCAGCGTCGGTCGGTACGGCCGGCCGCGCACTTCCCTGCGCTTTGGTTCGGGAGGCAGAGTTGTCGGGCTGCTGCGGTCCTGGTTGCTCAGCCGTCTTGGCCAGCCCCGCAGGGCTCGGGCCGGACAGCCGGCTGGTTCCGGAGCGCTGCTCGTGCAGCCGCCTTGCAGCTTTGCCCCCGAAGCGACCGGAACCTGAGCAGGCAGAGCAAGAGGAGAGCGAACAGCAGAGCAAAACGCCCTGGCGCAGAACGGGCCGCGGCCTTCTCCGTGGGGGCCCCACCCTGCAGCTCCCCCATGTCTGGACAATGCATCTGGGCTGCTGGCTTTGGAATCCGCCCATCCCGGGGCCCGTCTATTCGGCCTGCGCTCGCTCGCTGCTCCCTGCATTCTTGCGTCCAAGCTTTTATCATTTGAAGTCACCACAGGAGGGCAGTGAGCCTGCAAGTCTGGTTAAATTCTTTTGAAATGGACACCCACTCTTGGAGGAGGCTGGATTCTGCACCTGAAGGCAAACTAGCAAGCAGAAAGGGAACTTCAGCCAGGGCAAATACGGAAAGCTCCCCGCAGCTGGTCCCTTGGTCCCTTAAATCATTTCCAGATCAAGGGGGCAGGAACTGTGCTTAAAATCAGTTGCTGAATAGCAGTGGATGGGGGAGCGAGGGCCCTTGTGCGTCTCGCCGCTTCACGACCGAGGCGGAGTGGTCTGCCACTACTGAGAAGCTACATCCTCGCCTGCCTGCCATTCCCAGAGAAGCCAAGACATCTGCACATGCCCAGAGACTCTCCCAGCCTCTTTCTAGGCTGATGCTGGCATTCCAACATCGGCAGCAGCAGCAGAATGGGTCCGCTTCTGGGTGCAGATTAACGCCCAGGGGATGGACGGATGGATGCCAAGACGAGGCCGAGACGCTCGGCGGGGGAGTCCCGGCACTGGAGCGAAGACTCGCGCTCTCCTGTAGCGGTGCAACGTTGGCCTTGGACCTTGCAACACCTGGGTAGCAGCTGCATTTTCCGGAGGGCCATTTTGGCAAGGGGGCCACGCATGGGCAGTGCCTGCTTCATTTGTGCCTTTCCTTTTTTCACGTTATTCTGCGGGGTTTGCCGTTTTACCCAATGCATTCTGGCCGGCTGCAAAGGAGCTGAGCTGGCGCTAGCCAGCAGCAGGCCTCTTCGTCCGTCCCTTTCGTTTTTAAGCACCACCAAGAGCAACGCAGAGCCTGGCCAAACACACGGGAGCTTCTGCAGCCCGTCCCGCTTTCCTTGCACACTCCCTCGTGCGGACCGCCCGAGAGAGGCCCGCTCGTCCCCCCACAAGCGCACTCCACACAGCTCCCCTTGTCAGACTTTATTTTGATTCTTTGGTTTCCCGTTACTACTCTAAAAAAATACTGAACCCCCTTAAGGCCCCAAATGGTTTTTGTGACTCAGAAACCAGCATCTCTTTAAAAGCAACAACAGGTTAAAAATGGCAGGTCGTTCGAAGCTGCAGGCTGGTCGTCCCTGAAGAAAAGAGCTGTGAAGGGAGGCGGACGCGCTTTGACTCCCCGGAGGTTAAAATGTCACTCAGGAAGGTCGGCGCAGGCCGGGCCTCGAGCAAAGCAGCCGCGCTCACCTTGCCGGACGTGCTGCTCGCCCCGCCAGCCAGCGGCCCGGACGGCATCGCACGTGGCCCGACAGGAAGCACAACCCGTGCGCAGGTTAGAGGAAATACATTCTCAGTGGAAACGTGTGTGCAGGTGGGAAACGGGACCGGTTAGCTAAGCGCTGCTGCCGGAGTTCCCAAGGCGGGCTTCAAATAAATCCACTACACGGATTTAAAGTGGAGGAATTAAAGTGTCAAGGCTCCAGTTCCTGACTAGAGGGGGCAAAGGTGTCCAGAGAAATCGGAGAGGCGGGAGAAGTGGCTGGAGTGGCTGCCACGTGGGCAGGAGAGCGTCCCAAGACCGAGGGCTCCCCCGGGGCAGGCAGGGGTCGGGGACCCCTCACTGGAGGGAGATGGGCACCCCCCCACCGCTCGGCCAAGGGGCCCCCGTCGGCATCAAGCTTTGTAGTTCAGTTCGGCGTTCATTTTTGTATACATTTCGAAAATCGCATCCAGGACAGGCGTCGCTTTCTGCAGGAACTGGTGGATCTTCTCCAGGGTCTCCTCCTCCTTCACCTCTTTGCCCTTTTCTAGAGCTTTCAGCAAGTCTGATTTGTACGGGAGAACATACAGAGACCCCTGCTTGAAAAAGGGCACTTGTTAGAAGGAGTCCGAAGCACAGAAGGGGATGCTGCGCCCCCCAAACAGGATTAAAAGATCCAGAATAAAAAGGTTTGCTCGCTGGTTTCGTACAAATCTGTCACGCTGTGCTCAAGATGCTTCAGTTCAGAAGCCTTTGTCATACAATAGTGGAATAGAAGAGTGGGAAGGGGCCACGAAGGCCATCGAGTCCATCCCCTGCTGTTGCAGGACACCAAGTCACGCCATCCCACTCGGAGGGCTGCCCAGTTCCTTTCTGAATGTCTCTAGGCCCCCCCCCCACCTCTCCAGTCACCTGGTTCCACTGTCTCTGGCAGTGCGGAAGCTTTTCCTGGTCTCCAGCCTGAATCTGGGTTGGCAGAACTGGGTTGTCGTAGCCCCATATTAGGGTTAGGATTAGGGTTAGGAAAACGAGGTGTCCTGGCACGATTCTGATGGTTGGAATGCGTTTAGAAGGGGCAGGAAGGATGAGATGCGCAGAAAAATCTGCTCAGGGAGGGCTTTTTCAAAATTGCCCTCTTTTCAATGGAACTGTAGCCCCATATTAGGGTTAGGCGTATGCGCCAGGGTAGGGTTAGGGTTAGGAAAACGAGGTGTCCTGGCACGATTCTGATGGTTGGAATGCGTTTAGAAGGGGCAGAAAGGATGAGCTGCACAGAAAAAGCTACTCAGGGAGGGCTTTTTCAAAATCGCCCTCTTTTCAATGGAACTGTCGCCCCATATTAGGGTTAGGGGTGTGCACCAGGGTATCATAGAATCATAGAAGAGTCGGAAGGGTCCATGAAGGCCATCAGGTCCACCCCCTGCTGTTGCAGGACGGCAAGTTACATCAGCCCACGCAGACGGCCGCCCAGTTTCTTTTGAATGTCTCTAGGGTGAGAGAGCCCCCCACCCCTCTGGGCAGCTGGTTCCACTGTCCTATTGCTCTGACCGTGAGGAAGCTTTTCCTGATGTCCAGCCTGGCTCTGGGTTGTCACAACTTGAACTGATTCTTCCGTGTCCTTCTCTGGCATCAGCGAGAAGAGACCTTGGCCTTCCTCTTTGTGACAGCCTTTGAGGTACCTATAGAGGGATCTCATGCCCCCCCCTCAGCCTCCTCTTCTCAAGGCTGAACATGCCCAGTTCCCTCAGTCTGTCCTCCCAGGGCAGTGTCTCCAAACCCTGGATCATTTTTGTCACCCTCCACTGGACCCTTTCTAATTTACCTGCATCTTCCTTAAATCTGGGTGCCCAGAGCTGGACATGGTATTCCCGGTGAGGTCTGACCAGTGAGGAGTAGAGGGGAACTGCTACTTCTCGTGATTTGGAAGTAATACTTCTGTTAATGCATCCCGAAATACCATTTGCCCTTTTGGCGGCTGCCATCTCTGACCCCACATCAGTTAAGTTGGTTTTGCAAATATGCGCACGCAGACGTTCTGCTCAGGGCGCTGCTGCATTGGCTGCTTGCATTCGATAACCGCCCAGCCGCAGAAAACAGTCCGGGGTACATGATTCAGCATTCTGCAAATCTCGTATGATGTCAGTTCCTTTTTTTACAAAATTAAGTTTCTTGTCCTTATGACTGCCGGCACTATGGCTGCCGTGCGGTGCCGGAAGAATCTCTGGGGCACTGAAATGGCAGGAGAGGAAATGAGCTGGATTCCCAAAGGGCAGAGCTGGGCATACGTTTCCCTGTGGCTGCAGAAATGGACGCGTTCTATGCAAGTGTCATGGTTTAAAAGGGCTGCAGAGCTCGCCTTTCGCCCCAGCGCAGGGTTTGGGCCACCTGCATGTTGAAAGCCAAGAGAGCAGAGTTCTGCACCTTGAACATGGGCCGGGTGGCGATTGTCATCCTTCCTCACCTCCACTGAAAGCCCCGGGGCAAACGGGATGCCTCTGGCGGCCAGGCAGGGAAGAGGAGGGGGCAACAGGCCAAGCAGGTAGGAAGGACAGGAAGGTAAGAGCCCTCTCGGGCCATTGGGACTCAGCCATAGGGTCCCCAGGTACACTGCCCCTGCACAGGGAGGCTCTGCTTAGCTGCCCTGACCAATAGCCTTGGGCAGGTCTGTCCTCCACTCGGTTTCGTTCCTTTGGAAGGCACGGGAGCTGCTGGTGAATTTCAGAGGCTAATTCCACGCTGTTCCTCCTCCTCCCCGTCCTGAATGTGCTGCCACTCAGCCTCACGGGGTTCTGGCACAGGGGCGCAGCGCTCCCCAACATCTGTGGGCGCCCAGCATGTGGAGGGAGGCCCCCCGGGGCTTCCCGGCAGGCTGGCCACTCACCAGGAAGAGCTTCTGGAGCATCCAGCCGTGGTACTTGCGCAGGGCCAGCTCGTAGGCCTTGGTGGCATTGACCCGGATGAGGTTGGGGTTCTCCTCGTCCCGCTCGCCATCGCACAAGCTCTGCAGCAGCACCTGGATGAACTTCAGGCCCCTGCGGGGAGGGGGGAAGGGGGGGTGGCACTGGGGGGGCCATCCTCGCCTCCCCTCCCAGGCGGTGCCGGTGGGACCGCGGAGCAGCCCCAGTCCCACCCGCCGGAGGCGTGTGCCCAGGAGGACGGGTGCCCCGCTCTCAAGCGGCAGCGCTCGGGGACTGGCCTTTGGGGGGCCGTCCTGGGGGGGCGGTGCACGTGCCACCACTGGCCCACTGGGCCTCCCCGACAGTGGCACATGGGGCGGCCAGACCCCGCCTCTGGACACAGGACTATTTGGGGGGGGGGAGCAGGAGGCCGCCCTGCCCTGCCCTGCCCAGGGGAAGCGGCCCGCGTGCGCCTGAGGGGCACCGCCCTTCGAGGAGGGGCAAAGGAAACGGCAGCATTCCTCCCAGCGGGGGCAAAAGGCCCGTCCCCCCCGTCCCTGTCCAGCTCACGCCACCCTTCTGCCACCCCGCCGATCGCCCTCCCGCATCACCCGGGGGCCTCAGACCGTGGGGCTTCCTGGGCTGCTCACCTCTTCAGCCACATGAGGGCTAAAGTCGCCCCGACTTTGGGCCAGGCCGACCCGTACATCTCCTTCTCCGCCTCCAGGATGTTCTGCAGCGTCTTGAACTTGGTCGGGTTCGAGTCATAAACAGCTCGTATTTTCTGAAATGGAAACCGACAGAGCTCAGCCGAACTTGGGCCGAGGGCGCGTCGGGCGCAGAACTGCCCGGGCGCGGGGAGCGCCTGCCGGTTCCTCCGGGAAGAAAGCCGGAGCAGGTCTCCTCGCCTGGCGCTGCTTTTGCTGTGTCCCTTCCCCCTGCACTGACATTCTCCGCCGGCACGCAGGCCCGCCGGGACAGGCCGCTCTGGCTGCGGCTGTGACGGCTTCCCTGGAGAGCGGGCCATGGAGCCGGGCCAGGCGCCTGGGGGACTCGGGCTGCTCCAGGGCATCACCTTGCGCAGAGCCAAGCATGCGCTTACCTTGATGTTCCCGGCTAGATCGGCTTTGACCGGGGCGTACACGATCGGGCTGCCCAGGCAATCTAGGAGGAAGAGAGGTTTGGTCACACGCCCGGGTCCAGCTGGACTTTGCCCCCCCGTGCCCTCCAGAGGCGCTCAAAGGAGCCACGGCTTTGGAGCCACCTCCCCCGCCGTGGGGCAGTCCGGCCTCCCTCGGCCCGGGGGCTCCTCTGCAGCTCCACGGCGCTTGATGGATCTGCCCCTGGCATTTTGGAGAGCCAGAAGTGCTTCGTGAAATGCCAGCCGGCTGCTCAGATGCACAACGCTGGTTCGCACAAGCATCTGCAGGGCAGCGTTTGGCCCTCAAAGCGGCCTTTGTGCCGCGTCCGGACTCGGGCCGGGGGGGGCGGGGGCGATCAGGCCCCTCCAGCAGAATGGCTGCCATTGTAAAGGCCGGAGAGCCACAAGCCCGTCTTTTGTCTCCCGGGGACGTCCGCTGGCGTGACAGAGTCCGCCCGTCCGTCCGAGGGGACGCCTCTCCGCGCAGCGCAAGCACAGCCCTCGGAGCCGGCACGGCCTGTGGGGAGGCACGCCCAGCCGCCTTCCCGCAGAGCCAGCCGGCCGTACCTGCTCGCCCTGTTCCAGCCTGCAGCCTGCCGAGCGGCTCCCGGAAGCCACCCGGCCTGTCCCTGGCCTAGGCACACGGCGCAATGAGATGGCAGAGGCCTGCGTGGCCACGCAGACTGCACCACTTCGGCCAGGAGGCGTGGGAGGGGGCTGTTTTGGAATAATCCGCCACACAATTCAAAGCGCGAGCTGATGGGGTGCCTTCCTCGTGCCTGCCCTGCAGCTTCTCTTTGCTGACTGTTAAGAGTCTGGGGGGGGGTGATTTGTAGACTGGGTCCCAGTATCAAAGGCATGTTCTCTGCAGGCAGCCCAGAGAGAGCCAGCTTCGGGGCACCACAGAGATCAACGAATGCAATGCGATTAGGCCAATCCAAAGCTGTGAGCCACCCAGAGAGTTTCGGTGGTTGGGTGGCATAGAAATTGAATTGAAAAAATAAAGTTGCACAAGCTGCTGAGCTCCCCAGCCTGGCTCCCGCTGCAGGACGGGAAGGAGGCGGCGGGGCGGGCGAGATTCAGCTTAGCTGCACGGACTGCAAGCCAGTCTCGTTGGCCCGACGACGGGATCGCGGCAGCACGGATGCCGGGGCTGTTTGAAGGCTCAGCATAGCTCCTCTCCTCTGTGTGGGACAGTCCTGCACGCGAGGAGCCCCCCGCAGACGCCGTGGAGCAGCTCCCCCCGACCGGCCTCCCTCGTGCCGCTCCTCCGATGCAGTCACCGCTCCAAGCGGGGCGCTCTGAAACGGGATCCCCGCCCGCACCCACAACTAAGGACGCACTCTGCTTTTCCACTGGAAAGTCCCCGGGAAAGTCAATAGCAAGCAATATGGGCACTGCCCACAGGCAAACAATGCAAAGACACCACACGAAAGGAAAGTGACACGGGAAGGGAAGAGGAAAAAGGCAAAGGCAGCCAAGTTAGGTTCATGCCGTGACCAACTCAAGTGGACACGGCTGGCAGAGGGGAGGCAGGAGGTGGCACGCCTGCGGAGCTCTCCAGCCCCCCGTCCCATCGCGCCACGCTGCAGGCCCCCGGGCCACTTGCACGCCCTGCCTCCCCCCCCTCCTCCCCACATCCTCCTGCACGGACAGGACCTCTCTCCACCTGCTCCCAGCGAGTTGGGCCACCTGTGCATGGCACACGGAAGGGCGAGGGGAGGGCCGGAAGGGCTGCATTCCGTCTCGGGCCACAAGGCCCGGTGGCCAGCACGCCACGGCCGGCCACGGCCCACGTTCTCCCGCTTGCCGGCTGCCAAAGGCATCAGCAGAACGCCCGCTTGCAGCGCTCCCCTCCAGCCACCCGGCACCACCTGCCGGGGAACAGCCAACCCCCGGCTGGCTTTCTGGGCGGCCTGGGCCACCTGCGGGGGCCGAAGCAAGAGGGGCCACTCTGGGGCCCCTGGGCCGCAGGGGTGTGTCAGGCACCTGAGCCGAAAGCGCAGCACTCCTCTTGCACGCCCTGGCTGCCCAGGAAGGAGCAAAGTGGGGCTCTGCTGGCACCTGCATGGGCGCACGGAGCCACGCGTGCCGGAGGAACGGGCCTGAGTCCGCGTGGGGTCAGCCAGGGGTGCCTGCAGCAGCTTCCGCGGCACCCCAGGTGGAATCCGTCCGGGCAGTTAAGTAAACAAGTGAGGCAACCCGGGCTCTCACCGGGTTGCGCAAGCAGTCCTGGAGGGAGACGCGCGGACCGGCGGAGCCCACGGAAGACCTGCCCCGTGGCCCAGCTCTCCGCGCTCCCGGCTGGCCTCTCTCGGCCCGGGCAGGTGCAGCCCTGGGGCCTGGCTCGGCCAGGGTGGCTGGAGGAGCCAGGGAGCGCCAGGGCTGCAGCCCACCTGGTGGGGACTCCCCGGGAATCCCACACAAGGTTTCCAGGAAAAGGGTCCATCCCAAGCCCTTCCCATTTCTGTTTCAAGCTGCCCACGTTTCTGCTCCGCGATTTCATTTGGAGGCTTTTCACATGAGCCACGCCAAGCTGATCGGCCCAGCCCTGCACCGCCCACGGGGCCCGGGGCGCACGACGCAAGTCCTGACAAAGCTGCTGGGAAGGGAAGCGTCACGGCCCTTGCGCTGATGACGCAAAGTTAGACCCTCCATCAGCCGGGCTGCCTCTTCAGGCCATCTGGCCCGAGACCCCCGAGCCATCGGGGAGTCCGGCACCAAGAGGAGGGCCGGGCCGGGCCGGGCTCCGCGGCGCCGGCTTTTGGCACTCTGCTGCTTCCACATTGGGGACAAGAGCGTGCAAGGGAGCCCGAGAGTGCCTAGCCAGCAAAAAGCAGGGCCAGACTTCCCTACAGGCCGGCAAAGGAGTCTATGGGTTGGCCACGAGGGGGGAGCACCTCTCTTCTGTCTCCCCCACAGGACACCGGTCTCCTAGCCGGTCAGCAAAAACCCAGAACAACTCACAGAACCACCTTCTGTTGGGTTGGATGAAGGGAATGGTAGTCCTGCAGGCGTGGAGGCGACAGAAGGGCGCCACAGGTGGGGTCCAAGCACCCCTTCCGGCCTGCCAGGCCCCTCCCCAGGCGAACGGTGCCTGCCTCGTGGGGATGCAGCTCCGCTCCGCGCATGCTTACAGAAACCGCGCTCTGGCGTGACCTGGCCTGAGGCCCCACAAACCCTCCAGGACTGACCCTTCTCAGGAAATCAAGTTTTCAGACATTCATTAAAAGGTAATAGCAGAAGGCCGAGCGCTCAGCTCCAAAGAGACATGAAGCCGCGCCAGTGGGGAGGCGGCGCATAATGTTCATGGGCCAGAGGTGCCCGGGGGAGCCAAGTGCTTCAGTTACATCCATTATGAATGCGGCCTCCTCCTCTGACATCCAGCGATCTCATTTCTTATATGGCGCATTTTGATCGCTTGTCGGAAGAAACGCAGCGGGCGGCACAAAGTCTCCATTTCTCTGCTGGCAAACGATTGCTTCGCTTCTCAGCTTACGCAGTGGCTCCGCCACGGAGCCCCTTCCTTCCCCAGACAAAGGCCATCGCGGGCGAGGGCTGGGGGGTGCCACTCTGCCCGAGGGCCCCGATCCCCGGGTCAGTGGAAACCGGCTCCGGGGCAACTGGACACCGGATAGCGGGAGATGCCTGGCTAGGAGGCCAGGGCAGCAGGAAGGCTGGCGCGGTCGGTGCTGCCCTGGGGCGAGGGGGAGGGGGAGGGCACTGCAGCCCAGCCCACCCCTGGCCCCCACGCCCCTTCCTCTGGGCCCAGCCGCGGAGGGGTCTCCTGAGCATGAGCCACCTCCTCCCCTCGAAAGGCTGAAATGCCCCCTGGAGACTGATCTAAGCAGGGCATGCTCCCTTCCCGGATCTCTGGCCTTCCGCCTCTGGTGCTCCCCCCCAGAAGGGTCCTGTCCCCACCAAAGGAAGCTTTGGAAATGGAACTCAGCCCTCCAGACAAAAGCGATTCAACACCCTGCCCAAAGGGCAACACTCTGAACGGCACTCTGTACATGCCCCAAGGTAAACTCCATTTAGGAAGACAGTCCTCTTCCTCGTAATGCCCAGCATTTTGCTCGGTGCTTGAGAATTAAGCTGTTTCTCGGTGCGCTCTGATGCTCCCATGCGCCAAGACTGGTGGGGCGGGCGGGCAACCGAGGAGCTCAGAGGGACCCATCGACAGTGGAGGAGCTGTGGGGAAAATGCTCAAGCAACGAGGAGCAATGGGGGCCCCCACAGCGACAAGGGCGGCAAGCCAGAGAAAGGGAACGCAACGCCAGAGGAGAAACCCTGAGCCAGCCCTGAGCTGCTGAACTGCCCGGCTGGTGCGGGAGCTGCGGTGCGACGCTTCAGGAAGGCACCAGCTTGGGCCCTTAAGGCTGGGTTCCCCAGAATATGTGAAGTAAACAGTGTTTCTGAGCATGCTTGGAACACCTTTCCCAACATTTGAGGCCATTCCCACGCACGCATCTGGGAAGGCACAACGGCTTTGCAAACGGAATGCAGTGCAGGTGGGCTCTGGCCGCATCTCCTCGCTGGGGGCGAGGGCGGGCTGGTCAGACGGGCGGCCCAGGTGAGGACGAGAGGGTCTCCTCCCGCAGGGCCCAGCTCCCCGCCAGGCCAGAGGCGCCCGGAGATGAAGGCACTGGAGAGTCTCCGCGTAGGTTTTCCGGGTCCGGGAACAGGACACCGCAAGAGCCGGCAGGCTGTCGGCGCAGGGGAGCTGCCTCGCTTTCTCCGGGGCTCCTCGCGCCACCAAGCAGAGCAAGGTGCAGGAGGCTCCTTGGAGGCGAGGCCTTGGCTTGGCACCAAACAACGGCAGGCAGCACACAAGACTCCACACCCGCCAATTGCGTGCCAAGCACTGGTGTTTTGCTGCTGGGAGCTGCGAGCGCTGGCTGCTCTGGCTCCGAGAGCCACCAAGAGAACTCGATCCGCCCCGGGATACCAGCTGCCCCCAAAAAGCCCCGGAGCCTCTCGCTGCTCCCCACAGCAACCGAACCGTCCCCCAGCACTTCTGAGGAGCACAAGGGGGCGCGGGGAGACCGCCCGGCCCTCGTGGCGGCCAACTAGGCATTTCTTCCTGGCGGGGAGCGACGGAGCGCAGCGGGCGAGCGAGCCAGAGGGGTCTCGCCCCCGGCCTGGCCGGCCCGTCCTGCTCCAGGCGGACTCCTCGGCGAAGCGCCCGGCCCGGGCTGCGCCGGGAGGAGCCCGCCGGAACGAGGAGCCCGCCACGCCTTGCCAGCCGCCCGCCGGGGGGCTCCTCGCCACACCTGCGGGCGGGCTCGCAGGTGCCCCGTCTGGACCCGGCGGCCGCGCGT